AAATAAAAAAATTTATAAAGTTGACATCTTTTTTTACACTTTTATTTATCTTTGTGAACACTTATGCCTTGTAAAGAACTATCTTGTTTTAGTAAAAATGTGAGCTTCGAGTTCTGGCTCGTGTTTAATAAATAACTATTGTATTGCAAGTTGCAAAGTTGCATTTTAAGATAAGAGCTTAGCTATATAGTATACTACAAGTTGCAGAGGCAGATAAACATGCTAGTACTATTGGAAATATTAAAAATAACTTTATGAATCTTTATTATGTTTTGAATCATTAAAGATATTAAGACACAAGTCTAATAATTTATAGTTCTGATTATATTATATTATAAAATATTAGTTATTAAATGAAAGAATTTTGTGATAATATTAAGAGCTCTTCTTAATCCAATAACTATTGCTTTATAATCCGATGTAATTCATGTTGTAAAATACTTTTGTTATAATATTTTTTCATTTTGAGTCATAGTTCTATATAATTTAAACTAAAAAATTGGTATCCTTAAAAGGATTATGCAAATATGCTTTTGAAAAGCAAATGCAAATTAACAATTCTAGGAAAGCTCATACCACAAAGTTGAGCAGAAGAGACCAAAAGCAAGAGGTACACAAGATTCGCGTGAGCTTAATAGCATGAATCTTAAAGGGATACTATGTAGGAGTTATGTAAAATAGTTGATGTGGATTGATGCTCTAATGAATGAATGGTCTTAAAACTCCTAATCACCCCCACCAACCCTTAATTTATCAGAATCAGATTTTGCACGTCCCAAAATACATACTCCAATACCAATAGTGGAGATCCATCAACAAAGACAGACAAATCCCTCATATACTATGCCCTAAATCAGTGTCCACTAACTCTTGAATTGTCTTTTTTGGGTATAAATATTATAATCAATCCACTAAATACCAAAATTATGATGATTTATTTATAAATCCACAAACTATATTGGCTTAAAAAAAATTTGAAATCGCTTCTAAATTTCTAATATTTGTCGTGTGGCTAATGAAGCTTTATTGTAATGATAAGATAAAGGGCTCAAAACTGAATGTAACCAAGTTTTTCATTGGGGTGATCACATGTTAATTTGTTAAGATAACATAATATTATTTAAAAAATATTGATTGTTGAACTTAATTGTTAAAAGATATACTAACTTTTCGGTATTCAGTAATTACATTGAAACTCCACTAATTTAGAATCAAGTCGCATCAAACCTCATAAGTAAAGCTCTTTTAATATTTTTTTATCTATTTACAAAATTCAAATTCGAGATCTTATCTAAAAGGAATCGAATTTTTTTATACTAGGACAAACAAGTTGTTGGTATTAAATAATTGATATTTATTACTTAATAAATTAAAATTAATTTATACATTGATATTCTTAAACATTATAACTAACTATTTAAAACAATTTACAAATATCAATTAAATAGAATAATATTTGTGCTGCCACAATCACACCTTCTTTAGTGTTGCCTATGTGGACAATTAATGTACAGTAATTAGTTGATTCTGTTGTAGTAGTTTTGGTTATTGCAATGGATCATGGGCTTTTTTTGGCAAGGGATCATGGATGACAATGTAAAAATATATCATGCTTCTTTGTATCACTCTGTGTATCTGTATGACCACTGTTCAGCCCATTGCAGAAATGGAGTGTAATAAGAAAACTCCCAGTTTAGTCCAATGGGCCTGAAGTAGTGGTGATCCATTTTACGTTTGGACTGGATTCTGATTTGGACAAAAGTCAGGGAAAACAATTAATTTAGTCCTTCAAGATTAGGAGAAAAAGTTAAAAAGAAAAAAAAGGGTTAAATTATTAATAAAATAAATAAATATAATTTCATATGACTTAATATAAAAAAAATAACTTATGATTAAATAAAATATAAAATTATATTAAAAAAGTATCTCGTGATAATTTTTTTAAGTACTCCTAGTTTACTCGAATAAAAACAGAGTTTTGTAATTTGTCCCCAGAAGAAAATAGTTCAAACAATTTCTTAACATTAATATCTTCATTTATTAATTTTTTTAGTCTAATGGTGAGATATAATCATATAACATTAGATAATTTATAATTATTATCAACCTTTAACTACCTCTTATCTATTACATGATTCAAAGTTGAGACACCCTAATGATGAGATATAACATGGGATGATATACTTATACTAATTATAATTAACTCTTAAAATAGAGGTATAAGCTTTTTTAGTCATTGTTAGCCAAAAAAATAAACAAATAAAAAAATAAAACTCTTTAGCCAATAGTTGTAATCAATTCTTAATTTTAAAGTTAAATTTATTGATAAATAAGTATTATTTTATAGTTTAAATTCAAAATTTGAGTTTTAAACCAACACACAATAATGAAATTTAATTTCCTTTTTTACAATATGTTGATGTTGGTTGCATACCATAAAGATGGTCCAAAACAAAATTAACAAATTATTCTCGAGATTATAGGCCACTAAGGAAATTGTTCCCTCTAGGTGTTATTTAACCTGTCCTCTTTTAGATTTTAGACCTGAGTTTACAATTACAGTCCAATTACTCAGATCCAGTTGTGCATGTCAAAAAAAAAAAATCATATAAATATTTAATATAAAACAAATAAATAATTAGTGATTAAACCCATATTTTACTTTTCGTTGGGTACATTAAATAAAAGGTTATACAAATATCAAAAGGCATTTTTTTTTCTTAAAATTTAAATTTAAAATATTTATATCGATGTTTCAAACTTTCGAACATTAAAAAGTTTATAAAATTTTTAAAGGCAATTAATCTTTTGATTATGTATACAAATTTTTTTAATTGACTGAGTAAATTTTTTTAATTGATTGAGTACAATTTACTCAATCAATCCATACGATCATTGGAGCTTTTTTCTTTTTTTGGGGTGGGGGTTGATAGAAGGTTCACTATTTAGAACATATTTGATGAAATTTGTAAGAATTTTTATTTTTATGTTATTTATGAGTGATAAATTTAAATTTTTATTAAAAAAAATTAAAAATAACTTCTAAAAATAAAAAGAATAAAAATAAATAAAAAAGTTTATAAAAAATATAAATTTACAATTTTTTAAAATTTATTGTTTAAATTTTTTTTAAATTAAAAATATAAAAAATATAAATTAAAAAAAATAAATTTATAAAATATAAATAATATATATAAAAAAAAACTGAAACCTATATAACTTTCACCAAGTATCCTCTTAGTATCTTGCATGGGTGCACAACTCACATTCGCGGAAGTGAAGGTATTGTTTACATCATAAAGCGACACTTATAACCTTTCCAAGTTGTAACGAGATTTTGTCAATATTTATACTTTTGGTGGAGACGTGCCAGTATAATTTGATTACAATTTCTTGATACTTTAAGGCAAAAAAGTATTAAAAGCATTTGTACTTGGCTTTTCGGTTAATTGACAGTTTATTAACTTGAAATACATTTTTTCTTTCTCATGAGTAGTTTTCGAGTCCACTCTTTAACAACTTGTTAAAAATAAAAAATTAAAAACAGTTAGTGAAAAGGAAAAAAACTCTAAAATGCAGTGATATTCAAGTTTAATATTTTTTAGCTAAAAAGGAAAAAAAAAGTACGTATTCAACTTTAATTATAATATAATTTTTTTAATTTATAACTTTTAAAATCATTTCTTTATTTTTTATTTAAAGATATCATATATTGATCAAGAATTTGTTAATCTGAGTTTTCTTTGAAATAAATTCATAGATTTGATTATAGAAAAGTTTTTTTTCTTATAATGTTTGACTCCTTTAATTTTAAATTAATAAGATATAATATAATTTTTAAATATTGAGAATTTAGTAAAAAAATCTATACATTGAGTTTATTTATATTTTACTCTTACTTTAAAAAAAATAATTACAACACATGTTATAATAAAAATGATTATTTAAGTTATAAAAAATTAAAAACAAATATAAAATTTCACTAACTACTAATAATGATATTCTTATTTTATTTAATTAGACAAAAAATTACCTAGATTAATTAAAATTAAAATGAGAGAGTAAAATATGTATTTCTTAATTTTAGAATAATTGTCCTTTTTTATTTAAATTTATACTCAAAAATGGTTTTTTTTTTTAATATAAGAAAAAGCTTACGCTTGGATGTGGTTTTACACTACATTAAAAAATATTGTGTACTGTGTAAATACATTCAGGTTGTGTTTGGGAACCTGAATTTGAATTTGATGAGTGTAATTAAAATACATGTATTTGAAATACATGTATTTTAAAATACATTGTTTGGATTGAATTAAAAAAAATGAATTTCAAATACATGTATTTTTAAATACATTGTTTGGATATTTTAAAATA